TGAACCCGTTCGTTTTCGAATGACAGATTTGTCAAATAGCTTTTTATGTTTTGATTTCTTTTGAACACTTTGATTTGATATATTTCTTTTGTTAAAATTTATAAGGTATATGATTGATTATATATCCTATATTTTTTAGTAATTAAAACATAATTATAAGCTGTTAAATAATATACTATAAAGTATGTGTATATGTGTTGTGTTCTAGACTTTTTTGCCGCGTAATATTTAAACGTCAAACATATGTCATTGGAAGGGAAGGCATGACATTTAATGGTGGGTGATGTCAACAGGAAAGATCAAGCAGCAGCAAAAAACTCGATAGACTTTGATAAAGAAAGGGCTACTGTTTTTGGAGCAGTCCATGCAGAGTTATACAAAATGACTCGCATTTTGGATGGGAACAACTCGAGCTTTAAGTAAAATCTATCCGATTTGTAATTTTTTCAAGAGTTACTACAAACAAATTTTTTGTGGGAGACGGACCCAACAACGCGGATATAATTAATTTTTTTGGATCCGGATTTTGAAGAATAAAATTAAAAAGTCAGAATATAATCATATTCCGTTGGGCTGGGCCGAACTTTTAATACCGTCCAACATTGAGTAAAGAAAATAAAAAAAATATTTTTATATAAAAGTATCTGAATTCAAACGCTTTCCACTTTAAACTACAAATGTCAATAAGACTGTTTGGATAATGCTGTTAAACTTTTCAAAAAAAAAAACCAAAGTGGGGTCACACCAAAACGAAAACCTCAATTTTATACTTTAAAGATTGTCATCTACCAAATCTACTTAAATACCAAATTTGAAAGAATTTCGTGTATAGATGTGTTTAGGATTATCAAAATACCAAATATCGGCATGTACCGCTGTATGTGAGCTATAAGAAAACGCGAACCTAACTATTCAATGTTCTGCCACCGGAGCTAAAACCCATTATAAACTAAAAATACCAATTTTTAGACAAATCTGAGGAAATATATGGCAAAAATCATAAAAATACTGAATATTCGAAGGTACCATTATGTGGGGGCTGGAGAACGTGGGTCTATGCATACAATTGAATGGAAATTAATAATATTTGTGGATGAAAAATATTTGTACAAATAATGACTTAACACTGTTTTGCTCTTGATTTAAATAAGCAAAGAGAAATTTGACTGGAAAGAGATATTTTTTTTCTTTAGCAGCGCTGCTTTAACCATTTTTTTGGCGTTTTAAGTCAGGGGGTAAGGCAGGGAATACCTAGGTTTCGAAAAGAGCCACCAATCAGCATCAGTTCCCTTGTTTATTTTCTGGGATATACTCCCCAGGATAATAGAAGATATTTTATTTAATTTTTGTAGTAATACAAAATAGTTATACCCTCCATCATAGTATGGAGGGTATATTAAGTTTGTCATTCCGTTTGTAACACCTCCAAATTTAGATTTTAGACCCCACAAAGTATATATATTCTTGATCAGCCTAGATTTCTATGTCGATTTAGCCATGTCCGTCCGTCTGTGGAAATCACTCTAGCTTCCGAACGAATTGAAGTGGATTGATACAATTTTACTCAAATATATATTATGTCTGCAGGATTTTTGGTATTGAAAATTGGCCATGAAGGTCAACGTTTTGGTATAGCCCCCATATAACGGTACCTTTCGATATTGGTATTTTGATGATTTTAGCGACAATATTCATCGGAATTATTCCAAATTTGGTATTTGAAGTTCGAAATGGATACTACAAACTAAGTTCGAAACTAAGTTCGAAAGTTCGAAATGGATACTACAAACTAAGACCCATATAACGCTACCTCCCGATATTCGGTATTTTGACGATTTTAGCTTCATTATTCACCGATTTTTTAAGTTTCGCATTTGAATATTGTAATGGCAAAAGTTACCTATACATGTCCATGTCGTCGCATAGACCCAAATATTACAGCTACATTCGGTATTCTTAAGATTTTAACAGAATTTTTAACGGATTTTATTGTTTTTGAGAATTGCCAAAATCGTTCCAAATGGTGGAGGGTATTCAAAGATCGGCCCGGTCGAACTTACAGCTTTCTTAATTGTTTTTAAATAATAAGTTATTTAATTACATTCGCTGATTGCCTTCCCAGTAGTTACTGTCTACTGTGGCATTGACTAGTTGCTTTCTTTCCCCTTATTTAAGATTCTGCTACTTGGTTGAAATTGTACATAAGGTTGAATAATATTCCCTAATAAACTCATCATTACCTTAAAAGTTCAATCCGGAAATGCGTCCTTAATTTGGTGGGTTTTTGGTTTTTACCAAAAGAAAAAACATTCTTGCTGATAATTTTCAGAAAAAATAAAACAATAGAACCAATTTGTCACCAAAGGACAGACTTGACAAAAGTTTGTGCTCCAAGTGTTGTTAAAAAATTGTTAATATATTTATACCCTACAACACTATGTGTTGGGGGTATTATAAGTTTGATTGGGCCAAAAATTATGTAACACCTCGAAATATTGGTTTCCCACATAGGAAAGTATATATGGATCTTCCTATCTCGCCGAGCGGAGTCGGTCTAGCTATGTATGTCCGTCCGTCTGTCAATGTTAATTTGTAATCACTCTACAGGTCGCAATTTTAAATGGAGGTGGGGCTATGGCCAGAAAAGAAGCCTAGATCGCATAAAATTTAGGGGTTGAAATGGACCAAAAACTGATTTTTCTGATTTTGCAGTTGCTCTACAGGTCGCAATAAGAGACCAATTGAAGCGGAAGTTAGCATGTGCCTATGGGCTATGCAGAAACCTTCCAAATTGGTCATCGGGTAATATTTAGTGGGTGAAATAGACCATAGCATTTGTGTTAAATAAAAGTCAAATTTTCCATTGAACGGCGAATATTTTTAATCCCGGCGAAATCACAAATATACGAACAGGACAATTCTGACCGTTACGTAGATGTCGATAATATATATATATATATATATATATATATATATATATATATATATATATATATATATATATATATATATATATATATCGGATATATAGCGAAATATATACTATGCATATATACAAAAGAAGGGGATGTTAGCTAGAATTCTTATATCTCAAGAATGGCTGGACCGATTTTGACAAATATTATCAATTCAGAATGCCCTCTTGGCATAAAAGTATAAAATCTAATAAAATCGCATAAAAATGCCAATAATGACGTCAACATAGATTTTGTAGTGTTTTTTGAAATTTTTTTATTTTTTTCATATTTTTTATCGCTTTTATGAAGTGTATATTTTGTAAAAATTTTTCAGCTTACAACACAGGTTGGGTTTGTTATATAATATATAATTATCGTCTGATCCTCACGAAAATTTCCACAAGGTTAGGATTTGGCTAAGAAGGGCTAGGCCTATTGTTTTTAAAGATGTCCACAATATATTTATTATTTTTGGGACAGCGGGTAGAATGAACCTCTACTTTTTATATCCTACACCACATAGTGGTAAGGGTACTATGTCTGTGCATTTGTTTGTAACATGGAGAAGAAAACGAGATAGACCCATAGTTCCTTTTGGTGATCAGCATAGAATCACATTTTGAGTCGATTTATGCATGTCCGTCCGTCTGTCTGTCCATCCATCTGTCGATGTCGCATTTATTATTCGATGGAAATGAAATTTTCTAAATAACATGTGCTTCAAATTTGGTGAAAATCGGTTCAGATATAGCTATAGCTCCCATATATATGTTTCATCCGATTTGCTGTTTAAGTCCCTCACATTCGTAATATGCACTCCACGAGACTGATATTTTGCACCAGATATCAGATACAGCCAAGCAATTCATGATTCAAATTTTATCAAGATCGGTTCCGATTTGGATATAGCTCCCATATATATCTTCATCCGATTTTAGGTTTCTTGTACACCAAATGGCTAATATCAGTCCAAATGGTGTGAATTTTGGCAATTCAGACCGATAGTATAGAAATAAGTATTTCAAATGTGGTACACGATACAAGAATAATATTTATAATATTTGGTACTAGATATCAGATGCAGCCAAGAAATAGCTGTTTTCAGATTTGGATATAGCCTCCATATATATCATTATTCGATTTCAGGTTTATTGTGCACTAAATAGCTAATATTAGCCCAAATGCAGTGAATTTTCGAAATTCAACCGAGTTTAGCATAGAAGGAAGAATTTCAAATTTCAAAGAGCTTAGTAACTGCAATATAAACCTTTCTTTTAAGAGAGTGCTACTAAATATGCATAGTTGAGTAGGGTATCATATAGTCGGCCCGGCCCACTTTTGAGCCTTCCTAACTAGTTTATTCTGATTTTGTTGACGAATATAGCCAAATATAGATAAGTTTAAATTTAGAGATGCAGAGGGGCCTCCTGCTTTTGGAGATGATCGCAAAATATTTAGGGGATTCGAATGAACCAAAAAAAAAAAAATCATGATCACTCAATTGAAACCAATTGACACGGAATTTTGCATGAGAAGAGAGTTCGGACAGGGAAGAATTCTAGCATTTTGGATGACCATTGGATTATATTTAGCTATAAAATGGACCACAACAAGTAACAGCACGATTGGACAAATGTCCCTGGTCAAAATGCTTAGGGTCATACCTGGGAAGTGCTCCGTGACATAGCCTTTGCTCACTTGTTTTGATATGTTGTTATTTTTTGAGTTGTAATAACGGTATATTTTATACATATGCGTTTGCGGTGGCCTTATTTAAATAATAAATTTTAATTTCAGTTATTGAAAAAATATTATAGCAAATTTTGATTTGTTGACTACTATAGTCATGCGTGCCTGCGTGTGAGTGTGTGGCAAGGGAATTCCATTAAATCGATATTTTGCCAACTATTATAGGTAGGTATTCCATAGTTTGTATGTACATGCATATGTACATATTTGCATAAACAAACTAAAGTGTTAAAGTTTAGTGTTACAATTTTGCGCTATAATTGCTCATGCAATATTGAATATTGTCTGGGAACACGCAAGCCTCTTCATCGCTGTATGTCCATTAAAGAAATTCAGTAGCTGTTAAAGGTAACAGCTAAGTTGTTTTTTTTTCTTTCAATTCTTTAGCTTTTAAATAAGCGTACGTTTGCCATGGCGGAATTTGTAGATAATTTGCCGGATGAAGCAAAACTTGTGGCTGATAAAGGTTTGATTTTATTTTTTTTTTCTAATTTCTTATATTTTGATATAATTGTATATGACTTTTTTTTAGCTAAAATCAAAAGTGCAGATCAAGCTATATTGACACCAACCGCCCACTTGTTGTTGCAAGAGAGTTCACCACATGATATTTATGTACTTAAGGCGTCTGCAGCCAAAGTGGTGGCCAAGGAAAGTATCAAGGGTAAGTGTAGCACATATTATTTATTTATTTTCAATTAATACAGTTACTTAACCCAAGGGGCCATGGACAGTTCCAAAAATTTCTTTACATTACTGCTCTAAATTACATTAGGAAACACACCGGCAGTAAAATAGAAAACTTGACGTTTATGGGGTCAATATTAGAAGGTAGAGCTAAAAATTCTCGGATGAATGCTCTTCTGCCCTAAAACTGGATTTCAGAAAAAAATCTCACCCAAAAATGTATCACATAGGTCAGTGTTATACCCAGATATGCATCTATAAGCCAATTTGGAGGTCAAACTAGTAAACAATAGACGGTTCCATGTGAAATGTGTAAAAATGGTAGAAAGAGTTACAATTTTAGTGTTGGTCCGTGCCAAACGACCCCTGAATTCGTCCTTGACAAGCTTTTTCTGTTGGCAAAGTAAGTTTTTTTAGAAATTGGCAAAGTAAGTTCATGATTTGGATTTTTTTAAGACGAGGAGCCTTAGATCGAAGTTATGTGATGTATAAATGCAAATTTTTTGAACCAGAATTGTTCTTAGCTCAACTGAAAAGGACTCCTTGGATCGTGTTGTTGTGTGACTTCGATATTGTCGGTATCGAAGATACAGTATTACTGTCGGGGTACCGACTCATTATAACGGACCTTCGTTGATACCGTTGATGAATCATAAATTTGCTTTAGTTTCAGATCTACTTGATCTTCCCTACTGTATGAAGTGGGCGCGTTTAAGTTTTGGCTGTGAAGCTTTGGATAAATGTACACAAGGTGGTATTGTCACGCGAGGAATTACCGAAATTTGTGGCGTGGCCGGATCGGGGAAAACACAATTGTTGCTGCAGTTGTCACTGATGTCTCAGCTACCATTGGAATTTGGTGGTCTGGGAGCTGGTGTTGCTTTCATTTGTACAGAACATGCGTTTCCATCTAAACGATTACATGAACTTTCCAAAACGTTTACTCAAAAGTATCCCTCCATAAATATAAACTATTTGGCCCAAGTTCACGTCCAGCAAATACACAATAGTGTAAGTATCAAATTAGTAGCATAACAGTTTATATTAATTTGGCTATATTTCCTCGTTGTTTTTTTTTTGTATTTTCCAGGAACAATTGTTAAAGTGCTGTGCGGAACATTTGCCGCCATTAATGGCTTCCGAACGTATACGCTTGATTATCATTGATTCAGTGGCAGCAGTTTTTCGAACATATAGCGACTTTATACAACGTGCTCGAGATATGCGTAAATTGGCGAATTGTCTACTTAATTTAGGCGATAGATATAATTGTGCAGTGATTTGTGTAAATCAAGTAAGTTATTGTTCTGAACAATATATTTTCCTTTAGCAATTTTGAGTTTTTTTTTTAACAATTTTTCCGTGGTAGAAGTAGAAAAGTACGAAGTATTCCAATTTCATGCACCATCTAATACGGATAAATATATATATATATATATATATATATATATATATATATATATATATATATATATATGTATATATATATATATATATATATATATATATATATATATATATATATATATATATATATATATATATATATATATATATATATATATATATATATATATATATATATACTAGCTGGCCCGGTCCGCCGTTGCCGGCCCGTAGTTTTAGTCTTTAATGCAAATCTTGCATAGCATAATATTTTACAAATCTAGCTCATAAAGGTGAACAAATTTTAATATAAATATTGATTCGACTAAATAGATATAAATAAATATGGAAGGAGGGCAAAATAATTTCTGATTAGCATACCATAGCACCTCAAATTGCGCATTAGAGTCCCCAAAAAGTCTATGTTCTTGTTCATAGTAAAATTCAATGACGATTAAACAATACCCGCGTTGTTGTCCGCCAATCAGTAAACATCACTATAGATCGGCGGGCCTGGGAACTGTACCAAAATATTTACGTATGTTGACATTTTTCTGTAAGATGGTTCTCTACTCACAAAGTAGCCTAAATACAGCAAATAATGGCCAAATCAGTTGAAAAACATGGCCACGGTCACAGCTGAAATCAGGGATACATTTATATAAGGGTTATACCAAAACGTGGCCCAACCAATATTCTCTTGGGGGCCACAAATTCAATAGAAAACTAAATTTTCTTTTCTGGCCACCAATTAGATGTAAAAGTGGACTTGGGGATACTCCAATGTGGGGACTTTACTTAAATAAATTCCTATGTGGCAATTATCTGTATGATGGTTCCCTACCCCAGGGTAGCATAAATACAATTTTTAGATAAATCAATTAATGAATGTGGTCAAGACCAAAATGGGCCCTACTCCGAAAATTTCAAACTTTATGACTTATGACAAACTTAAAAAAGTGACCAAGACACCAAAATAGCTTAAATCATACGATGTTTATATAAATATGAAATCGGGTTGTACCCTTATCCATGAGTTATGATCGATATCATGACCTGCAAAAGTGATTTAAGGTATCTTAAATGTTTGGGAAGAATTTCTGGCAGGATAGAAATCCTTTTCTTACTAAGAGTCCCATTCGCTCTACTATTTTCCATCCTTTATATTTGGTATTTTTCTGAATGTACATTGGACGGATTATTGTGACAGGAAAGAAGTAGTTCCGCGCTTTGAAATGAGCCCCATTAGGCTTTTTCGGTAACTTTTGTTTGTTCAAATGTGTTCGCATCTTCCAGCTGAACCACGATGTCGGCCCTGGAGTTGAAAGGTATATGTCAGTTAACATCGTATTTCCCACTTATTTAATTTTTTGGTGAAAATTTGTATATAGTGAAAAATTATTCTTTATTTTATTCACAAAAAATTTACTGAATTCAATTAGATAATACAAATTGAAAAAAAAAATTGACAAAAGAAGAATAACACATTGAAAAAATCTTCAACTTGTTCGCTGATTTTTTACAGCAAATGTTTAAAGATCCTTATATAGTTTGCCAATAGAATATACTTCTATTTTAAAATTCGATTCCATTAAATTATTTCGACATCATCTATTCCGTTTCGCCACCACATAATTCGGTACTACACTTCTATGTAACCCGCCATCAATTTCAGTTCTCAAGAAATCAAGTCAATTAAATAAATTGGTATTAATATTTGAATTCAAAAATAAAATATAAAAAAAACACTACAAATGTACATTAGAAAAAAGTAAGTCAAAATGAAAAAAAATCATGCAAAATAAAACATTACTATTGTACATTTGAAAAGTCAAAATGAAAATGTTAATATATCACATTTTTTCGCGATTTTTTTGGATATTATCCTTTTCGGAGAGGAGACAATTCCGAATTTGTATGAATTGTTAAAATTAGTCCAGCGGTTCTTAAGTTATAAGCGTAGTAACTAACACAACTTTCTTTTATATATATAGATATATAGTATGGGCAAATTTAGAATATCCAATTTATGAAAAATCATAAATTTCATAGTCATCTCAGGTTTCTGGCAAAGTGAGATATATTTATATATAGCAAGTAGTCAGGAATCGCTGACTTGTTTCGCAATTTATGGCAGATAAACGTATTGAAAACTGTGGCTCTTTGTGGGTGAGGTACCAGAAGAGGTTCTTAGATATTCACAACAGATCTTGTGTTTGCAAAAATATGTGTCTGTGTGAAATTTGAAGTGAATTGAATGCCTGAAATAAAAAAAACAAAACGCTCAAAGAAAGCGAAATCTTTGAGCGTTTTGTTTTTTAAAATCTTGAACCCTATGTGGAGCAGATAGCAAAAGAGGTGGTCCGCTTTCTACCATCTTTATAACAGACCTTGTGTGGATGCAAAAATATTGAGATGTACCAAGTCTGGAATGGAATCGGATGTTAATTTCGCGTTTTATGAGCTTCATTCATATACAAAATTTTGACCCTTTTTTGGGGGAGGTACCAGAAGGAGAGGACCGATATATCCCATCTTCATTGCAGATCTTTTGTTAGTAGATATAATGGTATGTGTGAAAGAGAACCTGATGCTTATTTCGGTTTTTATGACCGTTATTCAATTGTTATTATTCCAAATTTGACCCTTTGTGGCGGAGGTACTGGAAGAAATGGTCCGATCTCTAAAATCTTTATAACAGACCTTGTGTTAATAGAATTATTGTGATGTGTGTAACAATGTGTAACAATGACAATCGGACTCCTACATCATATCATGGTACAATGATATCAAGGCAGGGCTAATATACCATATAATTTTAATTTTTTTATTTTCTTGGCTTAATATGTCATCTTTATTTGTTTATGTATGTGTTTTCTTTTCAATAACAAAAAGTTTGTTCAGAAAATATTCAAATTCGGGTGTTTTCAAAATGTTTATTTCAACGTATGTATCGACAAAATCTAGGGTTTTGTAGCGAAATAATTGTTTAGAGATATATAGTACATGATTTTGAAAAGAAGTGTTGATTTTTCATTCAGTTATCGCGTTTTTCAATTATTTATTCAAAATAAATGCAACAAGTTGTTTGATTTTTTATTGTTTTGATACTAATTCTGACATTACAAGCCAAACAGGTAGACCTCTATACTTGCAATTTTTTCAAAGTTGACCTACCTTCTCTTATGTGGCGTTTCCACTGCACTTGATTCGCTCTCTATTCGTTGTTTGACCCTTAACTATGAAAAAACTACTTAATTCTTCACACAAAATTTCCTGAGCGAACACTCATATTTGTACGTTGTTCAAATCAAATCACTTTCAGAACAACGAAAAAATATGTCTCATCCCTAACAAATGAGAGCATTTATCGAAAAAATAAATTATGACATTTAAAAATTAGAAATAGGAAAATTTAATGAAATTTTAAAATTTTTTTTTTGTAAAATTATGAATGAAAACTACAATGTTGAATGGCGTATGTACATTCAAACGAAAGTACATTTTGTTTTCTCTCTCATCCGAGGTACGCATTTTGTCCACGAGTTGAAATTTTCACAGAAAACTGCAAACAAAAGAGGCAATATTTTCAAAATGTTTGTATTGACAGAAAAAATATTTAACAAGTGTCTCTCCAGCAGAATTTAAAAATAGAAAAATACAAAAATATATTCAAAATGTCAACATTTACACAAAAAGTTGAAAACGTGAATGAAAATTATAAAATTATTGATATAATAAATCTTTGGGAGAAAAACAATCATTTATTCTATTCATATTAGTGAGAATTTAATGTAATTTATTAAAATTCCCATTAAAATCAACAAACAAAATTTTTGAAAAAAGGAATTATTTTACTATGAATTACGAATCGTGCCGTATGAACGGGTTAATTCGTGTACCTAATTCTGAGAGCGAACAACGTTGTTCGGTTTCCAATGGAAACATGCTATAATTCTGAGAGCGAACAATGTTGTTCGGTTTCCAATGGAAACATGTTATTACGGTTCGGTTATATAGTTATAGTCAAATTATCGATTTTTTTGGACCCGGATTTTTTATAAAACCCCCAAAAAGTCAAAAAAGGGCCCATTATGGGGGACAACAAAATTGATGCCAAATTATAGCTGACACTCTTACCTTTCCAATTTAAACTAGGGTTGTTCCCGAATTAGAATTTAATACTGATCATGAATATATACACTTTATGGGGTATATTTCGGCATGTTACAAACGGGATGAATAACTTTTTTGTAAACTTGGTCAATAGGCTGGTGACAAAGTGAATAGCATGGTGCATGGTGCATTACAAAAATCGAACTATATGCCAACATTTTTTTACGTTTTGTTAAATGTAGGCCCTGGTTCACTGTTTGTTTATCGTTCGCATTGTGATTTTCTAATTTTAATCACAATAATCACAATTTAAATTGTTATCACATTGTAAATCATATATTTTTATATAAATAAATACATAAAAGTATATGTTAAAATAAACAAATACAAATTAAATAAACAGAATTGCTGTTATTTGGAACAGAGCTATTGTCAAAAAAAAAATGCAAATGACGTCCGTTCTTATTAAAGTGTGTCTATGGTTTTTGGTTTTTGCTGGCATATTGCTTGTTTTTTAAATATCCGTAGACAAACAATTTTAAAATGGGAAATAAATTGGAAAGAACAAGCCGAATGGATGCCCAAATCCAAAGATGTCCTAATGAAGTACAGGCCTATATTGAAGATCTGGAAGATACATTACGACAATATAAAGGGAGTGATGATAACGCTGTAAAACAACATATCGAGGGATTGAGAGCCCGGATTTCGGAACTGCAATCTATAATTCAAGAATACAAATCATTGGAAAATCAAAATTCTGATCTAGCAATAAAATATAGTTCTGCCATTGCTGAATTGGAAGAGTGCCGAAAATCCAATGCAATTAAAGATGGTAAAATTGCTACATTGGAAGTAAAATACGACAGTGTCATGAGCAATGCACACAGTATGAACAATGCGAATGACGAATTACAAATGAAATATGAGAGTGCCATGCAGACGCTTGAGGACCAGAAAAGTAAGATGGAACTCGCGTTTCTCGATCTGGGAAACGTAAGAGCCGAATGCCAGGAGCTTCGCCAAGAAAATTACAATTTAAAGTTAAGAAATCAATCTGTCACAAGTCAACAGAAAGGCTTGAATGATGAATTGCAAACAAAATATAAGAGTGCTGTGCTAACAATAGAGGAGCGGAATGGCGAGATCAATCATATGATTTCCAATTTGGCTCAATTGGAGGCAGAGTGCCAGGAATTGCGCCAAGCAAATAAAAATTTGAAACTACAAATCGAAGCGAATAAACAAAATCCATTTGAGAATGGAAATCAGACTGCCATAAGCAAGCAAATAGCCTTTGAAGAACACTATAAGGAGCTGGATAATAAATATGTTGATATGCAGGAGAAATTATTTCAAATGGAATTGCAGAATCACGAATTAAGAACCAGGCTAGAGGAGGCCAATAAAAATTTGAACAGATCCCAACAAGTCACAGCGGAACAACAGACAGCGACTAATACCCCTGACACTACAACAGCACCCGTCGATGTTGGTACCTCATCAGCCACACCTGAAACCATGCATTCACTTTCTTCCAGCGATACAAGAACCGGTGAAAATAATGTTTTAATAAAAGGATTCGACAGCTCACTGGATAACAATGAAATAAAGTGTATGATCTTAACAATGGCCGACTTAATGGATTTGCAAATAAAAAATTCTGATATAACAAATATCAGTCGAAAAGAATCCAAATCCTCCAGGAAATCTAATCGAGCGCTTATCGTTGTGGAATTAAAACAAATTAAAATTAAAAATAACATGCTTAAAAATAAGGAACAATTAAAGAACTTCGACTCGTTCAAGGACATTGAAATTTGGGACTATATTAGCGACGATGTCCACCAGCTGTTTCAATATGCAAAAGATTTAAAAAATCATGGCTTTCAAGCGGTTTATTGGAAAAATAATAGCGTTTATGCCATAAAGAATCGTACAACCAACAGTCGCCCAATTCTTATAAAAACCATCAATCAAGTTGATGAACTCAAAAATGGTTCTTAGTTGGATGTTTACGTGCGAAATCAAAACGTGTCACTTGAACTTTCTTTATCTAAAGTGCTTTTTCTTGCTTTATCTATAGAATATATGTATATAATGTTAATTTTATAAATACAGTATATGTTATTGTTAATTAAAAGTTTATATTTTGGCAATATCACTTCTATGACTGGGTTACTAGAATTTTGTTTGCACTTCATACATATATAATATTAAGGCCTTGGTAAGATTATAGGTTCAAATGTAAACAATTTTGGTTAAAAAATGCGCAGGTACTGTATACGAGAGGAAGATGGAAGAAATATTTGCACAAAAACTCAGCCGATATTTAAAATGTGTTCAAGTTATTTGAAATGTGTTCATTATTAACAAATTTGAAAGTACATCTCGAAACCCTGGAATATATTTTGATTTAGAAATGAATCAGTTATAAACTCAAGTACATGGTGATATAAAAACGGCAACAGAGTCAAACGCCATATTTTTAAAATTTTTTCTTTAAATTTTATTGAATGAAAGCAAAAAAAGTCGGATATAGCATCAAATTTTAGAACAGATTTAGTTTAGATTTGTTCGAATTAGTCACCTTTAGCACGGATTATGGCCTTCAAACGGCCAATGAAACCGTCACACGCTGGCCGAATGTTTGCTCTGCGATATTTTAGCCCATTACCGGCGAAGCGCTTGCTTGAGGTAATTGACACTTTGGTATTTTTATACCCTTCTCCTTGGAAATGAGGGTATATTAACTTTGTCATTCCGTTTAACATCCCTAAATATTTGTCGTAGACCCCATAATGTATACATATTCATAATCAGCATAAAATCCTACGACGATTTAAATCACGATACAGCCCACATTATTTGACGTAGAGCGTCAAATGGTATAGCCTCCATATAACGGTACCTCCCGATATTCGGTATTTTGATGATTTTTACCACATTTTTTTTCACGAATATGTCTAAAATTGGTATTTGTGTGTCATAATTGGTTCTAGTGTTTCCATTACCCTAAGGTGGAGGGTATTAAAAGTTCGGCCCGGCCGAACTTAATGTTTTTTTACTTGTTAGTACCAACCTTGCTTTCCAAAATACTCCAGACACAATAGTCCAACGGATTGGTATCCGAAGACTCTTCTTGGGTGGCGCGTACTGAGTGCGATGGTGCTGAGTCCTGTTGGAATGTCCAAGGTCTGCGGCCAAAATGTTTGCGTACCCAAGGCTTTAATACACCCTCCAGAATATTTTCGATAATATTCGCATTTATTCCGATGTCACGATCGATTAATATGAGCGAAGAGTGACCATTGGCTGTTATAACGGTACATTTCGTTCGACCGATATTAAAGGGTGTATATATTAACATTTTTCGGTCGAAACATGGCTGAAATTTTATTTTTTGCATTTCTTATTGTAGGTCAGTAAAAGAGTAGCTCTACGTATTTTAACGACCCGTAGTTTAGGGTTTTAATACAATAATTTAATTTTTTTTAACTTAACTTAATGTCATTTTAACATGTTGAAGTAGTTATAGCCTCTACATTTGATAGGGGGGTATATTAAATTTTTTATTCCGTTTGTAACGCCTCTAAATATTCGTCGGACACCCCATAAAGTATATATACAATTCTAAGTCGATTAACGATTGTATGTCGATACAACCCACATTATTTGCCGTAGAGCTTTGACATTTGGCACAATAGTTTGTATTGTGTCTACGATGATTGGTATCGGTCAACGTTTTCGTATATCACCCATTATTTCAAATTTGGTATTTAATTCTCGAAATAGATAACAATCTTTGTAGTAGACAATTGTCTATATAGGTTCACGTTTTGGAAGTGCGGCCCTTAAACGGTTCCACCCACTTTATGGTATTTTGAAAACTTTAACTGCATTCACCAACTGATCTTTCTGGTAGTTTAAGTTTAAAGTGGAATGGGTTCAAGTATTGAATTCAGTTACTTTTAGTTATAAATGTTTTCTTCATTGAAATTTCGATCCGACCGAAATTAACGAACTTTAAATCATGAACATGAAATGGAATAAATTTAAACTTAATATTAAGAACATACTGGAATATTTACACAATTCTTTAAAGATATAAATTATTTATTAGCGAAATATTGAGAATAAATTTACATCAAATGGTCTACTTACTTGAAACAATAAATTTCATTTATATAATGCATTTCAAAAACTTTTTCTAAAATAAATATTTTTTTTGTCATTTTCAGGTAACCAGCATTAGTAAAAAACAATCTGAAATACCATGTTTGGGTCTAGCCTGGTCGCATTTGGGTCGTACACGTTTGCGCATCTCTAAAGTACCCAAACAGATCAAGTATGACGACAAGCTTCTTACCGTGCGTAAACTCGAGATTATCTACTCACCTGAAACACCAATAGCCTATGCTGAATTTCTCATAACTGGCGAGGGCATTGTTAATGTTCCCTAGGAATGGTTGAAATTGCAACTGAAAAATAAAATGCTCTGGAGATTTCCATAAGTTTTTGTTTCTTCTTGCATAGAATATAGATTTTTTTTATTTAATATAAGTATGTATTATGTTTATGATGACTGTTAAGTTTTTTTTTCGGTTTTTATTTTTTGTTCACTTATGTTTTTTTTCTTTGTAAAGCTAAATATATACTTCTTTTGTACATTCAAAAAATATTAATTGTATTTCCATTGTAATTACAAACATTCGTAAGTATTTTTAGATTAAATCTTTTAATTGGAGAAAATTTAAGAACGAAAAATGCTAATATCTATGTACATATAAAAATTATTTTGTAAAAATCAATAATCTACCTTTTCTCTAGACTGGTATTGTGAAAAAAAGATCCTTATTGAAAACTAATTCATAGGTATTACAAATCCCTCATAAACTTATATTTCCCTCCAGAGAAAACCCCACGGTACAATTAAATCAAGGTAATCGCATTTCAAATAATAATGTCCAGCTCTGCATTTTTTCTGTTATTTACCTTGTTAAATATAAAACATCTTTAATTGGTGTAAAAATGTATAATTTTGTAAAAAATTCCAAACATATAGGGTGAGATGAAAAAAATGCAACCAACTTCAAACTGATGTCATTTCTAAGCCACTCGTCCGACAGCTGTTAACATTATTCCAGTGACAGCTCATAATTTGTACATTTGTTTTTTAAATGTTATTGAATGAAAGCAGAAAATGTCGAAAATAGCATCAAATTTTAGAATAAGTTTAGATTTGTTCGAATTGGTCACCTTTGGCACGATTTATGGCCTTCAAACGGCCAATGAAACCGTCACACGCTGCCCAAATGTTGCTCTGCGGTATTTAGGCCCATACCGGCGAAGCGCTTGCTTGAGGTGTTCGACACTTTGGTATTTTTTAGAGCCAACCTTGCTTTCCAAAATACTCCAGACACAATAGTTCAACGGATTGGTATCCGGAGATTTTGGTGGCCATTGTGCGCTGGATATGAAGCGAGGAACCTCATAAAGCGATAAAGCTGAGTCCTGTTGAAATGTCCAAGATCTGCGGCCAAAATGTTTGCGTGCCCAAGACTTTAATACACCCTCCACAATATCTTTGCGATAATATTCGGCATTTATTCTTTTGTCACGGTCAATTATACGAGCGGAGAGCGACCATCGGCGTTGCCCGAGGTCATGGAAGTGGACGGAAGAAAACAGCAACATCAGCAGAAATGGTTCGAAAAGTAAAGAAGCGATTTGATCGAAACCCGCGTCGCAGTGGCCGAAAAAGGGCTCGGGAACAGAACATATCGCAATACCTTTAGGCAAGTATTGAAAAATGAGCTCGGGGTAAAGTCATTGAAATTCCAAAAAGTGCAAGAACTTACACCGCAACAGGAAGAAAATAGACTCAAAGGAGCTAAAAAGTTGCTTCGCTTGGCCGAAAGTGGAGAACTGCCGAATTTGGTTTTCTCCGATGAGAAAACATTCGTTATCCAGCAGTTTGTAAACAAACAAAATGATCGTGTTTGCTTGCCAAAGAAGTCAGCTGAATATGTGCACCTTCGGTTGGCCACCGGGAACTCAAGCGCTGGCTATGGTGATGGTGTGGGCCGCCATAAAAGCCGATGGTCGCTCTCCGCTCGTATTAATCGATTAGAAAAAATGCCGAATATTGTCGCGAAAGTATTCTGGAGGGTGTATAAAAGACTTGGGCGCGCAAACATTTTGGCCGGAGACCTTGGACATTCCAACAAGACTCGACACCATCGCACTTAGCACGCTCCACCCAAGAATGATTACAAAATGAGGTTGCTTCCTTCATTTCCAGCTCACAATGGCCACCAAAACCTGCGGATATCAATCCGTTGAACTATTGTGTCTGGAGTAATTTGGAAAGCAAGGTTGGCACTAAAAAATACCAAAAAGTCGATCACCTCAAGCAAGCGCTTCGCCGCAAATGGGCCAAAATACCGCAGACCAAAATTCGGGCAGCGTGTGACGGTCTCATTGGCCGTTTGAAGGCCATAATTTGTGCCAAGAAGTTGACCAATTCGAACAGATTTAAACTTATTCTAAAATTTGATGCTACTTCCGACATCTTTTGCTTTCATTCAATAACATTTAAAAAATAAATGTACAAATAATGGCGTTTGACTTTGTTGTAGTTTTTTTTTATCTCACTCGTATATATATACGTTACCTTCTTAATTCTACAATCCCTATCCATTTATTCATGATCGAAAGAAATTACTTCGAGAAAACCTATTTCCTGGGAATTTATTCCTCATGGATATTCGTGATCGGCAAGTCTTGGCCTTATGACATACCCGCGAATGCATTAGAGTCTATGCCAGCGAGAAAATAACATTTATATACCGTTCCTTGCACAGTCTTTGGGTAGACTAGAGTTTAAAGAATTAAAGATGAAACTTTGAAATTTTCCGCAGGTTTTGATATTATTTCTGGGAATATTTGTTAGTCCCTATTAGGGATAGATTCATAGCCATACTGACTTTCAATATTTAGTTTTTTGACCCAATTTCCAACAAACATAGCTGTAATTCAACTATTCGGTTTCTATGTGGGTAGATTATGTTCTCGAAAAAGGTATTCTATAAAATCTAAAATTTGGCGCCTCCCGATTTTCGGTATTTCTAATGTTTCAGTCACAATTTCAAAACGGATGTGCTTTAATTTGACATTTCGTGTTTTCAGTTGCTAGATTACCTCTATGAAGTATTTTGAAATTATCCGACGTATTTTTAAGATTTCATACAATTGATTTAATGATTTCATCAACAATTCTTAACAGAATTGTCTGTAACACGTCTATTTGAGTTCTCATTTATGGAGACTCGATCTACGAGTATTTTTCATTATCGGATCATTTTCAAGCCCCATGCATCGGTTTTAAATGTGCTGACCACAGCCTTCAGCTAAAGTGGAAGAAACACACCCCGCACAGAATAGTTTAGTGAAGGATTTCGTAACTGGAAAAAAATATTCTGGAAATTCCATGGACTTTGAGGACATCCGATTTGGCCACACGATCGAAATGAAGGGCGTTTTTACTTTTTTTAAGAAAACTTATAAAGCTTTTATTATTTTTTGGCCAAGGGAGAAAAATATCCACTCCTTATTTTTATACCCTTCACCATAGTATGGAGGGTATATATGGTTTGTCATTCCGTTTGTAACACCTCGAAATACACATTTTAGACCCCACAAAGCATATATATTCTTGATTAGCATAAAATTCTATGTCAATTTAGCGATGTCCGTCCGTCTGTGGAAATCACTCTAGCTTCCGAACGAAATGAAGTAGGTTGATAAAATTTTACTCAAATGTATATTATGTCTGCAGGTATTGAAAATAGGTCATATAGGTCCACGTTTTGGTACAGCCCACATATAATGGTACCTCCCGATATTCGGTATTTTCATGATTTTAGCGACATTATTCACTGGAATTGTTTCAAATTTGGTATTTGAAGTTCGTATTGGATACTACAGCCTAAGACAGAAAATTGTCTGAGCAGGTTCACCGCTTCGTGTAACCCCTATATAACGGAACCTCCCGATATTCGGTATTTTGATGATTTTAGCGACATTATTCACCGGAATTGTTTAAAATTTAGTATTTGAAGTTCGTTATCGATACTACAGCTTGAGACAGAAAATTGTATGTGCGTGTACACGTTTTCGTATAGCCCCCATATAACCCTCCCGACATTCTGTATTTTGATCATTTTAGCGTCATTATACACCGGAATTGTTTCAAATTTGGTATTTGAAGTTCGAAATAGATACTGGATACAGCCTAGGACAAAAAATTGTCTGTGCCGGTCCACGTCTTCGTATAGCCCACATATAATGGTACCTCCCGATATTCGGTATTTTTATGGTTTTAGCGACATTACTCACCGGAATTGTTTCAAATTTGGTATTTGAAGTTCGTAATGGATGCTACAGCCTAAGACAGAAAATTGTCTGTGCAGGTCCACGTTTTCGTATAGCCCCCATATAATGGTACCTCCCGATATTCGGTATTTTGATGATTTTAGTGAAGTTTATAATGGATACTACAGCCTATGACAGAAAATTGTCTGTGCAGGTCCACCGCTTCGTATAACCCCTATATAGTGGAACCTCCCGATATTCGGTATTTTGATGAATTTAGCTACATTATTGACCGATTTTTTAAGTTTCGCATTTGAATATTACAATGGCTTATGACAAAAGTTACCTATACATGTCCATGTCGTCGCATAGACCCTAATATAACAGCTACATTCGGTATGTTTAAGATTTTAACAGAATTTTTAACTGATTTTATTGTTTTTGAAAATTGCCAAATTCGATCTAAATGGTGGAGGCTATTCAAAGATCGGCCCGACCGAACTTACAGCTTTTTTATTTTTTTAATATGACAGTCCGTTTTTACTTGATTAAAAATTAGCTAGAAAACATTTGGCATATCGAATAAAAATGTTCATAATGGCTGCTGTACACCATAGTCAATTGGATCTTGAACCTATGGTAATGTTAACACAATCTGTGCCAAATTGATGAAAACAGCTGTTTTGTTTACTTTTCCAACATGAACTAAAGAGTTGAAATCAGAGTAATTTTATTTAATTTTAATTTATATACATACAATAACGACTTGAATGTTAAAATTAATCAAATGTTATTTAAACTTAGTTTTATTTTTATATAATTGAGCTGGTTTCACAAAAAGTATATTTACATTTTCCATTGTTATTTGTTTTTCCATTTGCTGTTGGTTTTCTTTTTTTTCCCCTACTTCTTTGTATATAACATCGTATACTTTAAGATTCTTGTAAGATTTTCAAATTATCACATGAAATGTTATGCATTTTTTCTTATACCCTTTTTAATATATATGTATTTAGTAATTTTATATTTATAATTAACATTTTCATTGTTTTAAGTTTCTCTTATGGCCTCATCATGGATAAGTTACTTACAGTTAAATTATTAAATTTTATTTTTATTTTACAATTTCCGTAATTTACATTTAATCAACATTTATAATAAGACAATTAAAGTTAATAATTTAGCTTTTATATATATATATATATATATATATATATATATATATATATATATATATATATATATATATATATATTTTTTTTTTTTTTTTTTTTTTTTGATTAATGTAATAATTGTAAATTATAGCGGGTCATATTAGATCTATTTATTTGGTTTTTTTAGATTTCATTATATCCTGTCTAAATAAAAAGGATTTGTGACACATTTCTATAAAAAACAAAATTTCTAGAGATGATGAAAATATATTCACGTTGATTTGTGTTATTGAAAATAAAAATAAATTGGCAAAATTTATATTAAGAATTTAAATCTGTTCTTTGGACTATTTATTTTAGTAATTTTCTTAAGTGATCATTCCAAATTTCGTATTTTCTTTCGCCTAAAAGTATGCTCGAAATTTTGTGTTTCTCTTCAAGTGATCTTCTGCTTACGATAAACATAAAGACAGCGAACGAAAATAAACTATTGGAAACGTTTGCAATCGTTTCGTTCTGTATTTTCTCGAAGTACGAAACGAAACAAAACCAATATTAAGATAACGGGACTTGTTTCTTATTTTGTACTGTTTGTAACCTGATGGATGACGCAACATTGGAAACGAACCAGTACAATACTCATTGCAAACGTTTCCCTGTATATTAACTCAACACAAATAATTTACAAAATAATTAAAAGTCAAAATTATTCCCTTTTATTATTTTTTTTTACCATCATACAATGTTAAAAAAGTGCCAAAACAATATTAAGAATAACAATTATTAATGTACCAGTCATCATTTCGCACAGCAAACGTTTCCCGGCGATTGGTTCGCAAACGATACAGCTCGACAACTCATAGCCGAAGTACACTAAGGCAATAGTATTGTTTGTGTACTTCTGGCATTGAAATGTTTGCGGTTTTGTTCTGTTTGGAGTACAAAACGATTGAAAAAAATTTAAAAGTTTGTGTCTTCGTGAGAGGGGTACGATAATCGTTTCGTTTGTTTTCGTTCGCTGATGACATTTCTTAAAGAATGTAATATATACCCACAAAAGATTGAAATGGATTCTACTATGGTAGCATTCTAATACTAAAATATATAAACATACACCCACACAAAATTATTTTGAAAATTGACAATACTTTTTTTAAATCCATATTTTTTATTTGATATGGATATCAAATTGTCATATTTAAATTTTGCAGTTATTCCTTGAATATGAGCGTACAGCCGCCAAGAAATTTAGATTTACAGGGTGAGATAAAAAAACCTGCAACAAAGTCAAACCCCAAAGTTTTTACATTTTTTTTTTAATTTTATTAAGTGAAAGCAAAAAATGTCGGAAATAGCATCAAATTTTAGAATACGTTCAGATTTGTTCGAATTGGTCACCTTTGGCATGAATTTTGGCATTCAAACAGCCATTGAAACCGTCACACGCTGCCCAAATGTTGCTCTGCGGTATTTTGCCCCATTCCCGGTGAAGCGCTTTTTTGGTGGCCATTGTGCGCTGGAATTGAAGCGAGCAACCTCATTTTGTAACCATTCTTGCGTGGCGCGTGCTGATTGCGTTGGTGCTGAGTCCTGTTGGAATGTCCAAAGTCTGCGGCCAAAATGTTTGCGTGTCCAAGGCTTTAATACACCCTCCAGAATATTTTCGAGATAATATTCGGCATTTATTCTAATCGATTAATACGAGCGGAGAGCGACCATCGGCTGTTATGGAGGCCCACACCATCACCATGGTCGGCGCTTGAGTTCTGGTGGCCAACCGAAGGTGCACATTTTCAGCTGACCTCTTTGGCAAGTAAACTCGATCATTTTGCTTGTTTACAAACTGCTGGACAACGAATGTTTTCTTATCGGAGAAAACCAAATTCGGCAGTTCACCACTTTCGGCCATGCGAAGCAACTTTTGAGTCTATTTTCTTTCTGATGCGGTGTAAGTTCTTGCACTTTTTGGAATTTCAATGGCTTTACCCCGAGCTCATTTTTCAATATTTGCCGAATGGAATATTACGATATGTTCAGCTCACGGTCCATTTTTCGGCCACTGTGACCCGGTTTTCGATCAAGTCGCTTCTTTACTTTTCGAACCATTTTTGCTGATGTTGATGTTTTCTTCCGTTCACTTCCTTGACGTCGGGCTACGCTACCAGTATCACGGTAACGAGCGGTGATACGAGACGCAAACGATTCATTCCGATTTAAATGTTGGAGTGCTCTAACGATAGCCACTTGTGGTTTTCGGCAGCTAGGACAGGTAAGAAAATAGATAATATAGCACCTTATTTTGCTGTTATACTAGTAGAAGATTTACATCCCGACTTTGGTGTTAATTTCATTACAGAAAATTGCCGGCGAAAGATGTGGTTTTATACAGAAACCATATAACAGATAATTTGAAGAATTTCATATTTCTTAGGTTATTCTGAGTTTTTGATCCTCAAAGGCTAACTTAAAACGTTATTCGAGAACTTCACAAGAACTAACAGCATCAAGAATATTTTCTTTAAGGTTATGGTTTTAAAATCTCTGTTTTGTAAGTTTAATCTTAAGACAAGATAAATAGCCGTCTTCCTAAGATATGAAACATATAACCGGTTTTTTTACCTAGGAACGCTGAAAATAATATATTATTAATTATTTTTGTAAAATATGACACTCGTCATACGTAAATATTTCAGGTATGAAAATAAATTTACTCGAGTACTTTAGAAAGTGGTTGCCATATTAGATTTAGAAAATAACACTGCCTTTACACGGTGACATTTTTTAACCATGCCATTTTTTTTGTTGGTAAAAAGTGTAGAGAGACAAGGATAGAAGAAAAAATGGCACGATAAGCCACCGCACAGGGTTACATGACATTTTCTTTGCATTTCTCTTTTTGCTTCTTCCGAATTTTTTATGATTTTAACATTTCATATCGTTTCTTTATTTTAATTTTTGATGCGTTTCTTTTATTGTGATGTGATGTTTTTAGTGACTGAATTGTATAGTGAATTATATGAAAATTAATTGGAAGTATTAAAAAGTAAAAAAAGAAAGTTAAAATAAAAGTTAATAATGCAATATTTAACACCTCAATAACTTTTTCCATCATTCCTTCTTTAGATTCACACATTTAATTTTAAATCACTTCTTTATAAATATCTGTTACAAACAATTAGCTCTATACGAAATACTGAATAAAATAAAATGTCAGAAAAAATGCCAAGCACTATTATCGTAAAATGCCACCGTGTAAAGGCGCGAAGATTTACGCAGAAATTTTAAAGAGAGAATTGATAAAAATGCCAGCTAAAAATGCCACCGTGTAAAGACAGTGTAAGTCTACCGGAATTGTCTTGCCACGAGTTTTCTTATAAAAAATTAAACTTTCTCAGAAAAAAGCTGTTGAAATTTTGAAAAATTACAAACCAAATTTACAAAATTATAAACTAATTTTAATAGTTTTTTTTTTTAAATAACAAATTTAAAACATCTCTCGTTTTGTGTGTCACAAATCTTAAAGTTCTATTTAATGCTAAACTAAGTAATGCATAATAAGTAGGTTATAGCAGCATGATTGATTGATTGATTGATCGGTTATTTGAAAATAATTTTTGGCACTCAATTTGTTTGTTTGTTTCTTTTGCTTGGTTTTTTTCTTTTCGACTGGAAGATCTTTTTCAAAATGATTTTTTTCGATTTCATTAAATTTTAAATTTCTTGCATTTCCGTATCGTCGCCATTGTCGTTTGCGGCCGAAGAGGAGGATGCAGACGCCGCCGACGACGATGATGATGATGACGGCGGCGGCGACGTGAATAAAGAATCAGTGATGGGCTCTGTTGGCTGAGTCTCTTCTTTAGGCTGCAATCGATTTTTGTTCTCAATAAAATTATCATCAATGTCCATGGGTGAAGAAGTTGACTCGGAATTTTTATTTGTGGCCAAATCCATTTGTTCCCCAGCATCATCATCATCATCGTCACCTGTTTTGCCTATGACTTCAGTAGTACCATCCAGTTTATACGGCATTTTAGATGAATGTTGTAGAGCTTCATCTTTGCCTTGGCCATTCATGTGAGCAGAACCCGAGACACTATTGCGGTCTTGTTTTTTTGCGGCCACTGTGGCATCCTTTGTTTCCTTGATTTCAGCTTTAACTGCCGACTCTTTGGCATGATGCCTATCACTTTTGCTGGTTGCTTTAGACTTTTTGGACAAAGCCGCTGCGGCACCTTCCAGCCCATTCAATTTGCTGGCATTTGATATTTTCGATGCGGCCAATTTACTTTCAAAATCCATTTCGCCATAATGTGGACTCTGTTGGTCGGCTTGTTGGGCGGCAGCGGCGGCACGTAACAATGTTAATTGCAACTCGCGATGTTGTGGCGATTCCTCCAGTTTGATTTCGAGTTTTTCAGTCTGTTCCAAGGGTGCTGCAGGCTCAACCGTTAATGGAATAGCATGATGATGGTGTGGTATGGCATAGTGGCGCTGATGATGATGATGATGACCACTACCACGCTCACGCTGGTGATGATGATGATGCTGCTGATGGTTGTTGGACAATTGTTTGTTATTGGCCGACGATGGACTGGGGCCATTCTTGTTATCCATTACTGCACTTCCAGTGGTATTTGCTAATTTGCCAACAGCCGTTGCAGCACCAGTTGTTGCAACCTGACCCGAGGCAGCTTGTAATGCATGTTGTAAACTACTGCCGCCACCGGGCACTGGCTCATGCTTTGTGAGACCTGTAGCATTTTTTGAGGTTTTCTCGAGCAGAGCATTCAATTGTTTTTTGATTTTTGTCGCTTGTTTAGCGGTGAATTTTGCACTTAATTCGTTTGCAATGCTACGTTTACCTTCGTTGGTATTGGCTGTTGCCTCACTGCCATGCCGTGTCCCATTGATGAGAGCATTTTTCTTTGTTGTAGCCGTTGTTGTTGTTGTTGCTGCTAAAATCGCATCAGTGTTTGTGGTCACTGGGCCATTTGATGTTGCTGTTGGCATTGATTTGCCATTTGCTAAAATGTTGTTGCTACTTTCCATGGTTGTCGTTGCTGTTGTTGTGCTGGAGGATAATGCCGGTGTTGTTGTTGTTGTCGTTGTTGCTCCCGCCACTGTTGCTGTCGAGCAAGACGAGCTAGTCGTCAATGAGGCTGTGCTATTTGTTGTGGTTGTTGTTATCTTTCCCGAATTGGCGGACTTAACCTCAGCTGCCTCCGAGTTGGTAACATTATCTTGTCGTTTCCATTTGGTTCGACGATTTTGAAACCATATTTTCACCTGAAAATAGCAAATAGAAAAAGACAACAAATTGAGTAATTAATAAAGGAAACTTGGGGAAAGCAAGAATTATTTAATAAATTTAAAATATTTTTTCCGTGCTTAAATTTTTATACTCCGTTTGTAACACCTCGAAATATCCATTTTAGACCCCACAAAGTATATATATTCTTGATCAACATAAAACTCTATGTCGATTTAGCGATGTCTATCCGTCTGTCCGTCCGTCTCTCCGTCTGTCCGTCTGAGGAAATCACTCTAGCTTCCGAACGAAATTAAGTAGATTGGTATTGAAAATGGGCAATGAAGGCTCACGGTTTGGTATAGCCCTTATATAACGGTACCTCCCGATGTTCGGTCTTTTGATGATTTTAGTGACACTATTCACTATTTGGTATTTAAAGTTCGCAACAGATACTATAGGCTAAGACAGAAAATTGTCTGTGCAGGTCCACGTCTTCGTATAGCCCCCATATAACGGTACCCTCCGATATTCAGTCTTTTTATGATTTTAGCGACATTATTCAGCGGAATTGTTTCAAATTTGGTATTTGATGTTCGTAATGGATACTACAGCATATGACAGGAAATTGTCTGTGCAGGTCAACGTCTTCCTATAGCCCCCATATAAAGCTACCTCCCGATATCGGGTATTTTCATGATTTTAGTGACATTATTTACCGGAATTGTTGCAAATTTAGTATTTGAAGTTCGTAATAGATACTACAGCCTATGACAGAAAGTTGTCTCTGCAGGTTCACGTTTTGGTATAGCCCTCAAATAATTATACCTCCTTTATATTCGGTATTTTGATAATTTTAGCTACATAATTCGCCGATTTTTTTTTTCAAGTTTCGCATTTGAATATTGTAATGGCTTATGACAAAAGTTATCTATGCAGGTCCACGTCATCGTATAGTCTCTAATATAACGGCTACATTCGGTATTTTTATGATTTTAACAGAATTTTTAACGGATTTTATTTTTTTTTTTAATTGCCAAATTCGTTCCAAATGTTGGAGGGTATTGAAAGATCGACCCGGTCGAACTTACACCTTTTTTACTTGTTTTTATCTTCAATTTTTCCGAAGGAACTATATACCTAAAATACATGGATTTCGAGTAATCTTAATCCGAACTATTCCAAAAGTGTGCAAGGGGGGGGGGGGAACTTGCCCCCTCATCATGTTCTCCTTTCTACCCAAAAAAAATAATAATTTATTGCTTCGCCAATATTTGCTCTATTTATAATTTTCGACACCGACGTGGAAAAGTTTCGCTTTAGCCAAATTATTAGCAACCCCGAGGAGCAGCGTGTCGTACAAAGTATTTTGTAACTCATCGTTAATTAACATAACACGAATCATTAAAAATTTATCAATCGTTACGCATTAACACGCCATTTTCCATTTTGGCAAGAAAATTCATCATCCAAGGTATCCGAAATATATTGATGCTGTTGTCTGTCATTGCCAACAACAAAATCATGAGGCGATGCCAAATAAAAGTAGATGGCAATATTGAAAGGAAGCAGAACGTTCGTTTCGAGAGAAAAAAATATATAAATCTGAAAACAAAGCTATATACAGGGTGAGATGAAAAAACTACAACGAATTTCAGACTGCCGTCATTTCTAAGTCACTCGTCCGACAGCTGTTAAAATTATTGCAGTGACAGCTCATTACAGCATTTTGGAGGGAATTTTCCAGAAAAGAAAAGTTATTCGTGATGGAAATCAAGCGTGATAGTGTGCTTCCTTTATATTTCGCTGGAAAACCACAAGTGGCTATCGTTGGAGCATTCCAGCATTTAATTGTGAATAAATCTTTAGTGTCTCGTACCATCGCTCGTTACCATGGCTCGTGATACTGGTAGCGTAGCCCGACGTCAAGAATGTGGACAGAAGAAAAAAGCAACATCGGCGGAAATGGTTCAAAAAGTAAAATCGGGACCCGCGTCGCAGTGTCGGAAAATGGCTTGTGAGCTGAACATATCACAATATTCTATTCGGCAAATATTGAAAAATTAGCTCGGGGTTAATCCATTGAAATTCCAAAAAATGCAAGAACTTACACCGCAACAGAAATAAAAAAGACTCAAAAGTGCCATAGAATAGCTTCGCTTGGCCGAAAGTGGTGAACTGCCGAATTTGGTTTTCTCCGATGAGAAATCATTCGCTTGTAAACAAACAAAACGATCGCGTTTACTTGCCAAAGAGGTCAGCAGAAAATGTGCACCTTTGGTTGGCCACCAGAACTCAAGCGCCGGCCATGGTGATGGTGTGGGCCGCCATAACAGCCGATGGTCGCTCTCCGCCCGTATTAATCGACCGTTGCATCAGATTAAATGCCGAATATGATGATGATTTTGGAGGGTGTATTAAAGCCTTAGGCACGCAAACATTTTGGCCGCAGACCTTGGACATTCCAATAGGACTCAGTACCATCGCACTCAGCACGCGCCACCCAAGAATGGATACAAGGTTGAGGTTCTTCGCTTAATTTCCAGCGCACAGTGTCCACCATAATCTCCGGATACCAATCCGTTGGACTATTGTGTCTGGAGTATTTTGGAAAGCAAGGTTAGCACCAGAAAAATACCAAAGTGTCGATCACCTCAATCAAGCGCTTCGACGGGAAAAGGCCAAAATACCGCAGAGCAACATTCGGGCAGCGTGTGACTGTTTCATTGGCCGTTTGAAGGCCATAATTCGTGCCAAGAAGGTGACCAATTCGAATGAATCTAAACTTATTCTAAAATTTGATGCTAATTCCGAAATTTTTTGCTTTCATTCAATAAAATTTAAAAAAATGTAAAAATTATGGCGCTTGACATTGTTGCAGTTTTTTTTTATCTCACCCTGTATATATTCTGGATCAGCGTAAAATTCTAAGACGATCTAGCGACGTGGGTCTGTCTGTTGTAATCACGCAATCTTTCGAAGGAATTGAGATAGAAGGCTGAAATGTTGCATATATGCATAGTTTTCGAGCAGGCAGATTAAGTTCGTAAATGGGCCATGTCGGTCGATGTTTTCGTATAGCCGCCATAAAACGGTCTCTTCTGATATTCGGTAGTTGGATGATTTCAGCGACATTATTCGCCGGAATCGTTTCAACAACTTATGACAAAACATTTCGTATGCCGGTCCACGTCTTCGTATAGCCCCCATTTGGCGGTACCTCCCGATAAGCGGTATTTTCATGATTTTTGCGAAATTATTCACCGGAATTGTAACAAAATTCATATTTAAAGTTCGTAATGGGTACTACAGCCTATGACAAAAAATTTCGTTTGCAGGTTAACGTTTTCGTATATCCCTCATAGAATAGTTTTCATTTAAGTGGTAGTTTTCGGATATTTTTTTGGAATTTTTCAAGTTCCCTCCAAATGGTGGAGGATATTAAAATTTCGGTCGGGCTGAACTTACTTGTTTTTTAATCATATTTTACGTTTTTTTTAATCATTCTGGATTTTTGAAATTTTGACTTTTTTGTGTTTCAAGTGCTATTAAATTGTGGAGTGTGTAAATAAGCTAGAAGATGAATATTTATAGTTTTGAATTATCAAAAAAAAAAAAAAAAAAATCTCTGCTAATTATTCAATAGCAAATCGTGTTGAAAAATATGTTTCATCATCACCAGCTGTCAAACTAAATTTTTGTAGGTTTGAGTGTGTGTGTGTGTGTCTACGAAAACGTCTGCCATGAATTATGGGTTATTAAAAGAACAAGGTGTCTAAATTCCCCCAGGTTGAAATGCTGTTGCTGGTCGACCTGCCAAACTGACATCCTCTCTCCCCACTTTTACAAATCGTAGAGAATCGTAATAAACATATATTTCTATATGAGAGGGCATATCACTTAACACATTTACAATAATTTTTCTCCCCCTCCCCACCATTACCATAGGGTCTGATGGAATCATTTCTCTTCCGTGTCATGGCCCATGGTAAGATAAATGTATGCTTTATGTACCCCGAGGAAGACTGATGGATGAATGGATGGATGGTTTGGTGATGTTGTTTGCCAGTTGTGAATGATTTCGTTCTGTTAATTTCATATTTTTTGGTTTTCGAAAATTTTGTTTTTTTTTTATTTGGAATTGGGAAAACTTTGAAGCAGCAGGAAAAAAACAGGCAGCACTAATTAAGTGCGTGATTTAAATAGACATCATTGGTTTCATGCAACATTGGCATCGGAAGTTTAATAGCCGAGCAAGGGCCATGTTTGTATTGAAAACACATGTGCCACTGAGTTTGCGTATGTGTGCTGCAGTGCAGAGGAACGTAATGGAAAATGATGTACTTTTCACAAAAAAAAAAAAAAAAAAAAAAAAAAAAAAAAAAAACGAAAAGAGAGAGAGAATACAAGAAAACGAGATTTCATTTTATATTCCATATTGATAGGGGAATCAGTTTTGAAGTCGTGAACTTTTTAAAAATAATATTTTATTATTTTCTGAGGACTGACAAATACATCGTTTTTTTCACGTATGTTAAAAATTTGTTTATGTTTTATTAAAATTTTAAAAGAGAATTTTCAAAAACCTTTAAAGCATTAAGTCAGGATTTTTGATAATGTTTTTGAAATGATATTTGAGGTATTAGACGTGGATTTTGAAATTATATATTTTTCAAGGAACTTTAGAGCATTAAGCGTGAGTTATTAAATAATTATTTTTTCAGGGATTTTTAAATAATATTTTTTTCAAGGATCTCTAGACGTTGAGCGTGTATATTTTTTAAGGACCTCGCAGGCATTGAGCGTGGATATTTTTAAATAATTATTTTGTATGGACCTCTATGGTATTGAGGGTGGATATTTTCAATATTTTTTCAAGGACCTTTGGAATATTGAGCTTTGATATTTTTTTCAAGGATTTCTAGGGCATTGAGCGTGGATAGTTTTAATATTTTTTCCAAGGACTTCTAGCATTGAGAGTGGATATTTTTAATATTTTTTCAAGGACCTCTAGGGCATTGGGCGTGGATATTTTTAA